TTTCATATAGCTGATTTTTTAATGATTGATTTTTCCATATTCAGGACTTTGTGGGAAATAAAAATGTCTGTCCGTGCCCATAAATGCACGCCATAACATTTGCTATCTTTTCCTTAATGAAGGTAGAGTTGGCACATGTACAGATGCCGGTTCCTCTTTCAGGAACGCCATTTACCTTCCTCTGCAGTTATCAAAAATGGAATTTCAGAGGGCTGAATGCAACAGCAGAAAAAAGTGCATGGGCTTTGGAGCCCGACAGACCAGAGTTAGAATTCCAGCTCTTTTACACCCGTAGCGTATGGAGGGCTCCCATTACCTAACTTCTTCAAGCTTTGTTTCCTCCTCCCTGAAAGCAGTTATGTTACAGGGTTTTTGTGAAGGTTATAGATGTGATATCTCTATTATTTTTAGTCTCTTGACTCTTCATTGTGATGCTCTCCTGATTTTTCTTTCTAAACCCTTCAAAATCGAGAAGCTTTAAGTGGCTATAGATTGAGAGTAGTTTTTTTGTTGTTGTTAAAGTTCAAAGAAATGCGCACCTCTCTTCCTTTACTTTTCTCTCATCAGCCTTTTAAACTTCTCATCACTTTTTTTAAATTTTAAAATTATTTTTAATTTTTTTGAGTGTAGTTGACACACAATGTTACATTAGTTTCAGGTGTACAACACAGTAATTCACTTCTCTCTATGGTGTGCTATGCTTACAAGCATAGCTGTCAGCTGTCACCACACAATGCTATTACAGTATCACTGACTATATTCCCTGTGCCATGCCTCTTATTCCCATGACTTATTCCATTTCTGAAGGCAGGTAACTTCTGTTCCCCTTCACTCTTTTTTTCCCATTTCTCCTTCCCCCACCCCTCTGGCAACCAACAGTTTGTTCTCTGTATTTACAGTTCTGATTCTGCTTTTTGTTTATTCATTTGTTTTGCTTTTAGATTCCACATATGAGTAAAATCATAGGCTATTTGTCTTTCTCAGTCTGATTTATTTCACTTAGCATAATACCCTCTAGAGCCATCCATGTAGTTGCAAATGGCAAGATCTCAACCTTTTTTATGGCTGCTCAACATTCCATTGTATACATACCACACCTTCCTTTTCCATTCATCTGTCAATGGACACTTATGTTGCTTCCATATCTTGGCTATTGTAAATAATGCTGTGGTAAACACAGGGGTGCATAGTCTTTTCAAATTAGTGTTTTCTTTGAGTTAATATCCAGTAGTAGAATTACTGGGTCATCTGGTATTCCTATATTTAATTTTTTGAGGAACCTCCATAATGTTTTCCATAGTGTCTGTACCAATTTACATTCCCACCAATGGTGCTCAAGGGTTTCTTTTTCTCTGTAGCCTTGTCAACACTTGTTATTTCTTGTCTTTTTTATTTTAGCCATTCTGACAGGTGTAAGGTAATGTTTTATTGTGGTTTTGATTAGCATTTCCTTGATGATAAGTAATGATGAGCATCTTTTCATGTGTCTGTTGTCCATCTGTATGTCTTCTTTTGGAAAATATCTATTCAGGTACTCTGCCCCTTTTTAATTGGATTATTTGTGTTCTTTTGGTGATGAGTTGTAAAAGTTCTTTTTTTTTTTTGATAAAGTTTTTTTTTTTTTTTTGAATTGTATAAGTTCTTTATATTTTTTGGATACTAAGCCCTATTGGCTATATCATTTGCAAATATCTTCTCTCATTCAGTAGGTTGTCTTTTAGTTTTGTTGATGGTTTCCTTCATTATGCAAAAGCCTTTTATTTTGATGTTGTTCCAATAGCTTATTTTTGCTTTTGTTTCCCTTGCCTTAGGAAACCTATCTAGAAAAATGTTGTCATGGTCCAAGCTTCTTGATCACTTTAGAAGGCAAGCGGGTCTTTACAAGTACTTGATTTGGAGGCATGCAGGCTCTGGTAGAGAACTACCAGAGTTCATTCCCAGCTCTGTTGCTTTCCAGCTATGTGAACTTTTTCAACTTCTTCCTGAATCTCAATTTCCTCATCAGCAAAAAGATCATATTAATAGTACTTGCTTCATGGGTCTTATGTGGTTTACAGTAGATTGCATAGATTTATATGCTTGCAATGGATCAATGCTTTCCAAAAGAACAGTCAGTGATGATGGAAATTTCTATATATGCTCCACTGGAATGTTCTCTATCTGCTATAGCCACATGTAACTAGCTAGTGGCTGCCATATTGAATGGAATGGCACTTTACTGTACTTACCTCTCATTTTATATAGAGTAAGCAACAAAGAGTAAGTCATTATTTTTCTCTTTATTTTGTTGTATAATTAGAAAATCCCATGATTTTCTTTTATGCATTCATAAAATCTTTTACAATTTTAGTTGGAATTTTTTGGAGCATAGCAAAAATTCAAATCAGCATACCTTCTGCTAATGGAAATATTAATGTTCTTCACATTCTACTTTAGTTAAATTTCTAATTCCATTTAAAATGCCCTAAAATCTCAAAATAATGCCATTTCTTATAGGAAACAAACAAGATTTTTATACGTTTATCCCAAGAGACTTAGGAGGGTAAAAGAAAACAAAACAAAAAGAACTCTGTAATATTAAGAAGTCATTGTGTATAACAAAGAACTTTGATCTCCTTGGTAAGAAATATTGGATGATACTATAAGGAGATGTTAAGGTTTAGGTATTTGATGGTATTAGAATCTAGGGTATGCTAATACTAAAAAAGGGGGCCCAAAAGTCATTTTACATTTTGATTACTTGAACATTATAATAGTAAAATAAAAAATAGAAACAATAAAAATGGCTTACATATTTGGAAATTGGTGTTATTTATTCTTCAGTGAAATTTAAGGTTTACCGAATATAAATTAGAGGAAAAAATTTTAGGGTTGTATTAAAAACTTATACAGTTAATGTTTAACAACACAGGTTTAAGCTGCAATAGGTCCACTTACATGCAGATGTTTTTTTATCAATACAGTACTGGAAGTGTATTTTCTCTTCCTTATGATTGTCTTTTCTTTTTTTTTTTTTTAAAGATTTTATTTATTTATTTGACAGAGATCACAAGTAGGCAGAGAGGCAGGTAGAGAGAGAGGAGGAGACAGGCTCCCTGCCAAGCAGAGAGCCGGATGAGGGGCTCAATCCCAGGACCCTGGGGTCATGACCTGAGCCAAAGGCAGAGGCTTTAACCCACTGAGCCACCCAGGCGCCCCTCTTCCTTACGATTTTCTTTCTTTCTTTTTAATTTTTTTTTTCTTTTCAGCGTAACAGAATTCATTGTTTATGCACCACACCCAGTGCTCCATGCAATCCGTGCCCTCTCTAATACCCACCACCTGGCTCCCCCAATCTCCCACTCCCCGCCCCTTCAAAACCCTCAGATTGTTTTTCAGAGTCCATAGTCTCTCATGGTTCACCTCCCCTTCCAGTTTCCCTCAACTCCCTTCTCCTCTCCATCTCCCTATGTCCTCCATGTTATTTGTTATGCTCCACAAATAAGTGAAACCATATGATAATTGACTCTCTCTGCTTGACTTATTTCACTCAGCATAATCTCTTCCAGTCTTGTCCATGTTGCTACAAAAGTTGGGTATTCATCCTTACTGATGGAGGCATAATACTCCATAGTGTATATGGACCACATCTTCCTTATCCATTCATCCTTTGAAGGCATCTTGGTTTTTTCCACAGTTTGCCGACCATGGCCATTGCTGCTATGAACATTGGGGTACAGATGGCCCTTCTTTTCACTACATCTGTATCTTTGGGGTAAATACCCAGTAGTGCAATTGCAGGGTCATAGGGAAGTTCTATTTTTAATTTCTTGAGGAATCTCCACACTGTTTTCCAAAGTGGTTGCACCAACTTGCATTTCCACCAACAGTGTAATAGGGTTCCCCTTTCTCCACATCCTCTCCAACACACGTTTTTTCCTGTCTTGCTAATTTTGGCCATTCTAACTGGTGTAAGGTGGTATCTCAATGTGGTTTTAATTTCAATCTCCCTGATGGCTAGTGATGATGAACATTTTTTCATGCATCTGATAGCCATTTATATGTCTTCATTGGAGAAGTGTCTGTTCATATCTTTTGCCCACTTTGTTGACATGATTATCTGTTTTGTGTGTGTTGAGTTTGAGAAAGAATGGGCAGAAGATATGAACAGACACTTCTCCAATGAAGCCTTAGGATTTTCTTAATAATATTTTCTTTTCTCTAGCTTACTTTATTGTAAGAACACAGTGTATAATACATACGACATGCAAAATATGTATTAATCAACTGTTTATGTTATCAGAAAGGCTTCTTGTCAACAGTGGGCTATTAGTAGTTAAATTTTGGGGGACTCAAAAGTTATACATGGATTTTTTACCATATAGGGGGTCTGTGCCCCTAATCCCTACATTGTTCAAGGGTCAAATGTGTATCTAGCCCTCTTTATAAATCTCTTGGGTGGACTGATTTGGCAATAAGCAGTTTTAGAATGGGGAGCCATTTCTAAATTATATTTTTCACATTGGCTTTCAGGGGACTATTCCAGAATGTTTTCCAATGACATTTTAAAGACTACTTTCCCATAGATTATTTATTTTACCTGGTCACTGCTTGGAAAGTACTGGATAAAAAATCCAAGAAGAGATCCAGCTGCCACACCAATTACCACTTCTAAGATTCCTCTGAGAACGTTAAAAACTGTGGAACCTTAAAAACATATAAAAAGAAAAAACTTTAGACAGAACTCTAAATCCATAAATACTTAGACTTTAATCATCAACATAAAGCATCTAATTACATAGAAGGAAAATTATATAGATATTTCCTGTTCTCCACATTCTTAAATATATGTGACTTAAAATGTTTAATAAAATAGACCTATATTATATGAAAGCTATGCATATTATTGAAGATAAATTTCAAGACAGGCAAAAGATATGATTTCTGTACTTTTTTGTTTATCCACTTCAATAAAAATTTACTTAAAGGGCCTAAGAAAATATGAAAGATAAAATTGATGAGTCAGAGCTAATTTGTTTTACTTTACAATAGGCAAAGTCTAGGTGAGAAGACATATCTACTTTTCAAATTGCCATTTAAGAGCCTAATTTTTTTTTACTAATAATATATATTGATTTTAGTAGCTCTGATATGTATAGAATATAGTATCTTAAAAATCTGGCAATCAAAATAAAAAATCTTTTTCTTTTTTAGTTTTATTTATTTATTTATTTATTTATTTATTTATTTGTAATTTCTACACCCAATGTAGGGCTTGAACTCACAACCCCAAGATCAGGAGTCACATGCCCTTCCAAATGAGCCGGCCAGGAGCCCCAAGAATCTTTTCTTACTATAGTGAGTATAGGGGATTTATTCTTTCACAAAAGTTATTTTTTTTTCTTTTAAAAGATTTTCTTTATTTATTTGAGATAGAGAGAAAGAGTAGAGTATGAGCAGGAAATAGGGGAGAAGGGGAGGGAGAAGCAGGCTCTCTGCTGAGCAGGGCGCCCAATGCAGGGCTCCATCCAAGGCACCTGAGATCATGACCTGAGCCAAAGGCAGCTGCTTAACTGTCTGACCACCCAGGTATCCCTCAAAAGTTATTTCTAGAAGTCTGAAAACAAATTATTTTTTAAATTGCTTCCAGAAGAGTCTTTATTTGTTGCATAGCCTCTTTAAGTATCATAATATGACTCATTGATAATAATACAATAATACTAAGGGACTTTAAAACCCCAGTTACATCAATGGACAGATCACTGAAGCAGAAAATCAACAAGGAAACAATGGCTTTGAATGCCACACTACATTAGATGGACTTAACAGATACATTCAGAACATTTCATTCTAAAGCAGAATGCACAATCTTTTCAAGTGCACACGGGACATTCTCCAGGTCACAAATCAGGCCTCAAAAAGTACAAAAAGACTAAGATAATACCGTGCATATTTTCTGACCACAACACTATGAAACTTGAAGTCGACCACAAGAAAAAATTTGGAAAGACGACAAATACATGGAGGTTATAGAACACTCTACAAGGGGCACCTTGGTGGCTCAGTCATTTAAGGGTTTGACTCTTGATTTCAGCTCAGGTCATGATCTCAGTGTTGTGAAACTGAGTCCTGTACTGGGCTCCACACTCTGGGTGTAGTCCGCTTGAGATTCTTTCTCTCCCTTTGCCCCTTCCCCTGCTCACTCTCTCTATAAATCAATAAATCAAATCTTGGGGGGAAAAAAGAACATCCTACTAAGGAATGAATGAGGCAACCAGGAAAATTAAAGAAAAAAATAAAAAATATATGGAAACAAATGATAATGAAAACATGACACTCCAAAACCTTTGGGATGCTGCAAAAGCAGTCATAAAGGGAAGTAGATAGCAATACAGGCCTACCTAGAGAAGCAAGAAAAATCTCAAATATACAATCTAACCTTACAACTAAAGGAGCTAGAAAAAGAACAACAAATGAAGCCTAAAGCCAGAAGAAGGGAAATAATATAGATTAAAGCAGAAATAAATGATATAGAAAGAAACAAACAAAAAACCCCAGTAGAACAGATCAATGAAACCAGGAGCTGGTTTTTTGAAAAAATTAATAAAACCAATAAACTCCTAACCATACTTATTGAAAAAAAAAAAAAAAAAGGAGAAAAGGCCCAAATAAATAAAACCACAAATGAGAGAAGGGAGATCACAACCAACATCATAGAAACACCAGTAATTATAAAAGAATATTATGAAAAATTATATGCCAACAAATTGGGCAATCTGGAAGAAATGGGCAAATTCCTAGAGACATATAAACTACCAAAACCAAAACAGGAAGATCAATAACCAGAAAAGAAATTGAATCAGGAATCAAAAATCTCCCAACTGGGGGTATAGCTCAGTGGTAGAGCATTTGACTGTAAAAATCTCCCAACAAACAAGAATCCAGGGCCAGATGCCTTTCCAGGGGAATTCTATCAAACATTTAGAGAAGACTTAATATGTATTCTTCTCAAATTGTTCCAAAAAGTAGAAACGGAAAGAATACTTCCAGACTCATGATATGAGACCAACATTACCTTGACCTCCAAACCAGACAAAGACCACACTAAAAAAGAGACTTATAGGTCCATATCACTGATGAACATGGATGCAAAAATTCTCAACAAGATGCTAGCAAAGGGAACCCTATAGTACAGTAAAAGAATAATTCACCACGATTAAGTAGGATTTATTCCTGTGTTGTAAGGGTGGTTCAATATTCACAAATCAGTCAACATGATACACCGTGTTAAGAAAAGAAAGGATAAAAGCCATATGATCCTCTCAATAGATGCAGAAAAAAATTGGACAAAGTACAGCATCCATTCTTGACAAAAATGCTCAACAAAATAGAGATAGAGGGAATATACCTCAATATCATAAAGGCCATATACAAAAGATCCACCACAAATATCATTCTCAATGGGGAAAACTGAGAGCTTTTCCTTTACAGTCAGGAACAATCCAGGGGTGTCCACTCTCACCAATCATATTTAGCATAGATCTTGCCTCAGCAATCAAAAAGCAAAAAGAAGTAAAAGGTATCCAAATCAGTAAGTAAGAACTCAAACTTTCACTATTTGCAGACAACATGATACTCTATGTAGAAAACCCAAAAGACCACCAAAAAATTGTTAGAAGTGATATACAAATTCAGAAAGTTGCAGGATACAAAATCAGCATACAGAAATCTGTTGCATTTTTACACACCAGTAATGAAGCGGCAGAAAGAGAAATCAAGGAATAAATCCCTTTTACAATTGCACCAAAACCCATTAAGATGCTTAGGAATAAGCTTAAACAAAGAGGTATCTGTACTCTGAAAATTATAGAACACTTATGAAAGAAATGAAAGAAAAGTCAAAGAAATGGAAAAACATTCCAAGCTCATGGATTGGAAGAACAAATACTGTTAAAATTTATATACTACCCAAAGCAATATACATATTTAACGCAATATCTATGACAATACAACCACCATTTTTCACAAAGCTAGAACAATTCTACAATTTGTATGGAACCACTAAAGACCCTGAATAGCCAAAGCAATCTTGAAAAAGAAAAGCAAAGCTCAAGGCATTACAATTCTGGACTTCAATCTCTATTACAAAGCTATAATCACCAAGACAGTATGGCCCTGGCACAAAAACAGACACTTAGATCAATGGAACAGAACAGAGAACTCAGAAATGGACCCCTAACTCTATGGTCAACTAATCTTCAACAAGGCAGGAAAGAATACCCAGTGGAAAAAAGTCTCTTCAACAAATGATGTTGGGAAAACTTGACCACTTTCTTAGACCATACCCAAAAATAAACTTAAAATGCATAAAAGACCTAAATGTGAGACAGGAAACCATCAGAATCCTAGAAGAGAACATAGGCAGCAACCTCTTTGACCCTGGCCATAGCAACTTCTTACCAAATGTGTCTTCTGAGGCAAGGGAAACAAAAGCTAAAATGAACTATTGGGACTTCATCAAGATAAAAACCTTCTGCACAGTGAAGGAAATAATCAACTAAACTAAAAGTCACCCTTCAAGAATGGGAGACGATATTAGCAAATGACATATCTGATAAAGAGTTAATATCCAAAATTGATAAAGAACTTATAAAACTTAGCACCTCCCCCAAGTAATCCAGTTGAGAAATGGGCAGAAGACATGAATAGACACTTCTCCAAAGAAGTGAGTGACTAATAGATGGCTAAGAGACACATGGAAAGATGCTCAATGTCACTGATTATCAGGAAATTATAAATCAAAACTACAATGAGATATTGCCTCACATCTGTCAGAATGGCTAAAATTAACAATACATGGAACAACAGGTGTTGGCAAGGATATAGGGAAAGGGGAACCCTTTTACACTGTTGGTGGGAATGCAAACTAGTGCAGTCACTCTGGAGAACAGTATGGACATTCCTCAAAAAGTTAAAAATAGAACTACCCTATGATCTAGCAATTGCACTCCTGAGTGTTTACCCAAAGGATACAAAAGTAATGATTTGAAGGGATACATGCACCCCTATGTTTATAGCAGTGTTATCATTAATAACTAAATTATAGAAGGAGCCCAAATGTCCACTGACTGATGAATGGATAAAGAAGAGGTGGTAAAATAATGGAATATTACTCAGCCACGAAAAAGAATGAAATCTTGCTATGTGCAATGGCATGGATAGAGCTTGAGAGTTTTAATCTAAGCTAGATAGAGACAAATACCATATGATTTTACTCATGCGTGGAATAAGAAATGAAACAGAGGAACATAGGGATAAAAATGAGAGAGAGGGATTAAAAAAAAAAGGAACAGACTTTTATTTTATTATTTAGAAAAATTTTTTTTAAAGATTTTATTTACTTATTTGACAGACAGATCACAAGTAGGCAGAGAGGCAGGCAGAGAGAGAGGGGGAAGCAGGCTCCTTGCAGAGCAGAGAGTCCGATGTGGTGCTCGATCCCAGGACCCTGGGATCATGACCTGAGCTGAAGGCAGAGGCTTTAACCCACTGAGCCACCCAGGTGCCCCCAGACTTTTAACTAGAGAGAACAAACGGGGTTTCTGGAGTGAAAGTGGATGAGGGATGGGCTAAATGGGTCATGGGTATTATGGAGGGCATGTGTTCTCATGAGCACTGGGCATTGTATATAAGTGATGAATCCCTAAATTCTACTCTTGAAGCTAATGTTACACTTTATATTGACTGGGATTAAAAAAAAAAAACTTGACATAAAAAAATCAAACTAACAAAAGCCCCAAAATACAATAAAACAAGAAATATATAGGTAAGTAGAGCCTCTATTTTCTTCCATAGCAAACAGATTTAGAATAATTTTAAAAACCTGTTAGCACATTGTACAGAAAATTATAATAAATTGCTCAAACGCATAAGGTCCTTTCTCCCACACTGTTCTAAGAAAAAACGTACTAACTAGTTATGTGGTCTCTCATTACAGTAGTTTAGGGTAACAGAACATGCCATCCCAAGGTAGGCCACTTTCACATAAGGATTATTTTGAGCAGAAGACAACTGAGAAGAAACAAAATCAAGAAAAGATGTCCATCTTCCCCTATTTACCTAAAAGAAGGACATACCTTTTTAAAGTGTCCTTCTCCCCTCTACCAGGAGGGGCAGAAGTTAACCGCTGAGACAACTTTAGGCTCTTATCAGCCTAAAGATGGCATCAGAGGAATCTGTGTAACAAACTTTGCTAAAAGCAGCCCTAGCTACCATTAGTGTTCCAATTTGCCTTTCCACAATTTGCTGCCTTCAACAGCTAAGTTCTTATCTTTTACCTTGCACTTCTCTACAAAATTATTGTTCTTTGCTCAGATGCCATAGAGATAAGCCCCCAAATTCTAACCACCCCTTTGAGTTAGTCATCACTGAGTACTCTCCTCTGTAAGCTTGGTGCACAGGCTGGCAAACTGCTTTTCTCTTGTTAATTTGTATTTGTCAGTCTGATTTACAGGGCCCCAGCCAATGGACCTAAGGTGGGTAGAGGGGCAACCGTTTTTCCTTCCTGATAGTTTCAATCATCTCTCTTATTTAAAAAAGTAATTACCTCAGTAGTAATTTTATTTTGCTAGAGCAGCTCTTTGTTAGGTGATGGTGTGACTGTCAGAAGCATCTAGCTGTGATATGTCTCAAGCAATTACAGTAAATAATTTACTATAAATGTGTAGAAACTAACTAATTAGTTTTAGTCTCTGGTATGTAAATTTGCTTAAGAAAGAAAAAAAGACTTCTTGGACCCATCTCTAAAATTTCTGATTCAGTAAGCCTGGCAGGGCTTGTGATCCACATTTTAAAAGGTTCCAGGTAGTTCCCACCCAAAATATCTAAGCACTACATTTAGTGGAGCAGGGCAGAGAGAACATAGCATTGTTGACTAGGAAAATTCTTAAACTACCCATAGCCCATACTCCCCAGATTATGAAAACCCCAGTAAGCCTGCCCTCACCTCCCCAATTTCTCTTCTTTCCAACCCCTATGGTTCTAATGCAAACTCTTGCTCTGATGCCTGGTTTCCATTCCCAAAGGCTCTGATTTAATTGGTCTGAGGTGGTGCCCACAGATGAGTATTTTTAAAAGCTCCCCAGGTAATTCTAGTGTGCAACTGAAGTTGAGAACACTGTTTCAAAGATGCAAACAAACAGAAAGTTTAACTCAGACACTGAGAGTAGAAAAGTGGTTGCCAGGGGTTAGGGGGTAGGGGAAAAGGGGAGAGGCTGGTAAAAGGGTACAAACTTTCACAGTAAGATGAATGAGGTCTGAGGATCTAATGTTTAACATGGTAACTGTTAACTATATTGGATAAATGAAATTGGCTAAGAGAGTAGAACTTAAATGTTCCCAACAACAACAACAGCAACAACAAAAGGTAAATATGTGAGGTAATGGAAGTGTTATTTAATTCAAAAAGAGGATCATTTCACAATGTATACATATATACTAGGCATCACACCACATGCTTTAAATGTCTTACAATTTGTCACATATACCTCAATAAAGCTGGGAAAGAGAAAACAATAGAGTACCAAAATAACAAAATAAATAAAGAAGCATACCAGGAGATCAGTGAGAACATGTTTGGACACATACAGCAGAATGAAAATAAAGACAAGAGTATAGATTTGATATAATAGGTAATAGCAAATCCTCATTGGTTCTTGTACCAAAAAGTAACACTATGAGAACTATATTTTGGTAAGATTAATTTAGTGATTGGATGTCTAAAGGCAACGTTAGGGCAATGGGAAGAGGTGAGGTTCTAGGTAATCAGCATAAATTGTAATTGGGAAGATACTATGGGGGTAGAGAAACTGAGAACATATGACCTTTCAAGAAAGTGTTTCCCATAATTCTTGGAAACTAAACTTACGCCACAATTATATTTTGCCAATAATATTGAATTGCAGATCTTATCTCCCAATCTTGTACACGGATTAAAAAGAAACTTGTGCTATGTTAAAGGAGAGTAAAAGTGTTGATAATAGGGTGGGACAAACAGTGCCTTGCGCCCTTTTCTTATTACTATCTAGCACAAAATATATCTATATCGGACACTTGTAAGTACTAATAAGATACACATTAAAATCATTGTGGTTATTGCCCATAAATTGTTAAAGAGAAGAGAGCAGAAACTATTCCTATTTTAGAAGAATGCTGCTCCTTCTGCTTGGACGGCTTGCAGGTCATTTGTGCTCTTTGAAAAACCTACTCATCTATGTGTGAAGTCTGCAATATTTCACTTTCCCAGAAGGCTCATTGCAAAAGCCATTCAAATCCTTCCTTAAACCTGGCTACTCTGGATCCCCCACTAACGCACTTACCAGACCACTTGGAGAGTCCATGTCCAGAGGTTGAAGGGAATAAAATAGAAAGCTACTGGCCCCGCTTTGGGTATAGAACTAACTCTTAGAGTTGCTTTCTCTATTTCAGTCTGCCTTATTCAACTACCAAGCAAATATGCCTAGTTTGTCACATCATTATTTATGTCTTTACAGCACAAGAGAACAGCTCATTGGGAACTGACCAGTTTACCTGTGGAAAAGGCCATGCCCAAGCATGTGTTGAAGCCAGTGATAGCCAGAATATCATCGAAGCTGCCAGCAGCCATGAGTAAGGTCGGAATGCCTTTTTCAACCCCATAGCCTCCTTCCTGCAAAAGGAGCATTGAGGGTACCACGACAGCTGGAGATACAGCACCTAAAACAAAACTAAGTAGGCAGCACTTCAAACAGTTGATAGCACTTTATGCATTGCTATTACTGTTGTGGAAATTCTAGTAAACTCTACTGTTTTAGAAGTTACACTTTAAACAACTACAATGGTAGCAAAGCACTAAGCCAGAAACACACACACACACACGCGCGCACACTCACTCACACACACACAAACTCTATAGAGCCCTTTTTGCAAGTGTGGCTACAAACAAGTTGTACTGGAACTACTTAGGTTGCTGGAAAATACATAATTATGGGTGGTAAGGAAGCCCTCATGGGGTTAAGTTTCAAGAATCTGCCTTTAAAAGTAAACACACACATTCATGGTATGATGGCTGAAAAACACAGTTGTGGACTTTTTAAATTGGAACTGACTGATGTTAGACCTTCTGTCGGGACTTGGTACGTAATATAGACAATGGATTAGAGAAGGCCATAATGGCAGTGCTGGCTATAGTAACCCCAGTAGGAGCTGTTAACAGCAGAAAATGTTATACGGTGGTTACTGGGTGCCAAACACTATTTTAAGTCCTTTACATATATTAACTAATTTAATCCAACAATCTTATCTTCATTCTGCAAATTAGGAGATTGAGATGTGGAGGGATTCATGACCTTGCCAAAGGTCATGTACTGGAAAGTCACAGGGCTGAGATTGGAATCCAGGCAGTACAGCTCCACAGTCTCCACCATAAAAAGTAAGAATTTCTTGCTTCTTGCCTACTTATTAGTACTAAATTCTTACTAAGTACTTTTACATTTATTTACTTCTCATGGCTTTTGACCACTTGAAGAACTGTCAGTGGAAGGAAGAGACAGCAGAACCACCTAATCATAATTGTCTGGTATCAGAAGGAGAAAAACAGCATTAGAGGTTGATTACTGTTAACGTATTTATTATCTTTTGCACAGACTTTGAGGTTGAAAGGTGGCATTTCTCTTACCAGCATGGCATCAGGTGTAGGTAAAAGACCATTACTTTTTCAATAGTTTAAATCATAATCGTTGTGAAAGTTAGAGATACTCTTTTTTCTTTTTTAAATGTTTAGGGTTTTTTGTTTGTTTGTTTTTTAAAGATTCTATTTATTTATTTGGCAGAGACAGACACAGCGAGAGAGGGAACACAGGAAGGAGGGGGGACAGAGAGAGAAGCAGGCTCCCTGGCTCTATCCCAGGACCCTGGGATCATGACCTGAGCGGAAGGCAGATGCTTAATGACTGAGCCACCGAGGCACCCAGTTGGAGATATTCTATATACAGTATATTTTGAAGTTATAACATTTAGATGATGCTAGAATATCTATGTTGTAATTTCTGACATCCTTAAGAAAATTTGTTGTAGATTCTCTTGTATGGAATCAGAGAAAGCCCTCAACATCCCTGCATTATTTTCATATGACAAAGAAAAACCATTACCCCAGTATAAATCCCCATTGCCATGGTAAACCCATTAGGAAGTGGGCAAGAAGAGCAGACGTGCACGCCTCCACCAGGCAAGGACCCATGGATAGTCTTACACAAACACCCTTCAACTTCTTCAGGGCCTGAAATATACAAATAGAGATGCTAAAATAATCCTGTAAAGACAGGAAGAGATTATGACATTAATAGTTTTTCTTCAGTACTCAGACCATGTCTGGGTTATCATGAATTTTCCAGGTAATGAGTTTTACTTAACAAACATTTCAGTGTTCTAAGTGTTTTCAGTCCTCATAGCAACCTTATGATATAGGTAATATTATTATCCCCATTATTTTTAGACATCTTCATCTAAAAATGCACCAGTTAAAGTCAGTTGCCCAAGATCATGAAATTGGTGAGTTATGCAGCTAGGTTTGAACTCAGGCAGGATGTTCTAGAGTCTGTGCTCAGTAATACCCAAACTAGCTGACTGAACACTCTGAATTAACTTTTTAAATAAAGAGGCCAGAGTGAAAATCTTCATCCGTAAGAACATTCATTCCCTCATTCAAAAACATGCATTAGAAATCGCATTAAAATAAGCATGCTTGAGACTCCTCTTATGTACCACACAGCTTCTTGAGCTGGTATAATTAGCCCTAAATACTAGCATATGGCTTTGCACACCAAAAATATAGTATTTTCTCTCATGACCATTATTTACAAGGATGACCTAGATCTCTGTCAGAGAAATGGGGAGCATTTATTCTTAGTGCTGTCCCCAGACAGTAATTCCACAACACTCCAAGAAAAAAATATGAGACCTCTTCTGGGAAGAGTCGCCCTGCATGAAATAAACTCCATTCTCTTCTTGAGACTGTCACACATAGTGTCTAAAGCTCAGTGATTCCCAAGAACTGCAGTATTGGAAGAACACAATTCCTGGTCAACAACTAGAAATTTACACTTCATACCTTTGAATCAAGTCCAAGGCCAGCACGGACCAATATGACAGACAGGGCTATGCTTCTTAAAGCAGAAGACCACTTGTGCTTGATCTGTATGTTATCACTGATGACAGGGATATTCCTGAGAAGAAACCCAGCAAGCAGCATGCCTAGGATGAAGAAGCCAACAACTCTTAAGTTAGTATACAAATACAGAAAATATTTTTGGCACTTTATTTTTGGGTTCATGTCTCTTTAATATTCTTTTTTTAAAGTTTTTATTTAAATTCTAATTAGTTAACATACAGTGTAACATTAGTTTCAAGTGTACAGTATAGTGATTCAACACTTCCATACATCACCTGGTGCTCATTACAAGAGCCCTCCTTAATCCCCATCACCTATTTAACCCACCACCACCCACCCCTCCTTCTGGTAACCATCAGTTTGCTCTCTATAGTTAAGAGTCTGTTTTCCTCCATAAGAGACTCTTAAAAAAAAAAATTTTTACTTATTTATTTGACAGATAGAGTGAGAGAGAGACAGAGCACAAGCAGGGGGAGTGGGAAAGGGAGAAGCAAGCTCCCAACTGAGCAGCGAGTCCAATGTGGGACTTGATCCCAGAGCTCTGGGATCATGACCTGAGCTGAAGGCAGACACTTAACTGACTTATCCACTTAGGCACCCCAGGAGACTCCTAATCATAGGAAACAAACTGAGGGCTTTCTGAAGGGGAGAGAGGTGAGGGATGGGGTAATTGTGTGGTGGGCATTAAGGAGGGCATGCGATGTAATAAGCACTGGATGTTATATAAGACTGATGAATTATAGACCTGTACCTCTGAAACCAATAATATATGTTAATTAATTGAATGTAAAATTTTTAAAAAGGTCTGTTTTCTGATTTGTCTTCCCCCCTCCATGTTCAACTGTTTTGTTTCTTAAATTCCACATATGAGTGAAATCATATGGTATTTGTCTTTTTCTCACTTATTTCACTTAGCATAATACTCTCTAGCTCTATCCATGTCCTTGTAAATGGCAAGATTTCATTCTTTTTTATGGCTCAATGATATCCCATTTTGTATATATATCTATATCTATATATATCTCGCACATCTTCCTTATCCATTCATCAGTTGATGGACATTTGGGCTATTTCCGTAATTTGGCTATTATTGATAATGCTGCTATAAACATTGGGATGCATGTGTCCCTTTGAATTAGTATTTTTGGATTCTTCGGGTAAATACCTAGGAGTGTAATTTCTGAGTTGCAGGGTAGTTCTATTTTTAGCTTTTTGAGGAACCTTCCTACTGTTATCCAGAGTGGCTGCACCAGTTTGCATTTCCAGCAACAGCGCAAGAGGGTTCCCCTTTCTCTACGTCCTTACCAACACTTGTTTTTCTTTTGTTGTCTATTTTAGCCATTCTGCCAGGTATTTCCTATCACTTCAGGTGTGAAAAAGACTACCTTGTAATCCCAGGAACCACATCCTTTATGCTTAGTCCCTAGATGAAATAAGGTTAAACTTGATAAAAAATTACAATAATATGTTAAATTAGAGGAGCTAAAAAAAAGGCTTTAATGTGCAGATAAAAATGATTAGAATCAGGGACAACTAGGTGGCTCAGTCAGTTAAGCATCTGGCTCTTGGTTTCAGCTCAGGTCATGATCTCAAGGTTGTGGGATAGAGCCCCATGTCGGGGTCCACGCTCAGTCGGAGTCAGCTTAAAGATTCTCTTCCTCTGCCCCTACCCTTCACTCTCTACCTCTAAGATGAATAAATAAATCTTTTAAAAATGATTAGAATCACTAATTGTTCCTAAATAACTGAACCTGCAAGGGAGAAATAGGATACAGTATTTGGATAGAAATGTGGTCAAATTCTAAACAGAATATTTTAATACAATACCCAATTCAGTTACCCTTTTGTGTGCAAATAGCAAACAGCTCCTGAAATTATTTGCTATGTTGGATTACCTGAATTGTCAACAAATACCTGTACGGGTTCTATTTTACCTTCAAGCCAGATAACTTGATACAAAATACATAACTTGCTTTGCAAAGGCCTATAGGTGAGTTATGATAAAACAGACATTGCTTTGTCATGTCAGCTGCTGACTCTTTTGTTCAGCCTTTCAACATTTACCTAATGCCTTCAGTATTTTAATTTTTTTTAACTTTTAAAAAGATTTTATTTATTTATTTGAGAGAGAGAAAGAGAGCATGAGCGAGGTGGAGAGGGAGAGGGAGAAGCAGACTCCCACTGAGCAGGGAGCCCGAAATGGGGCTGAATCCCAGGACCCTGGGATAATGACATGAGCTGAGGGCAGAGGCTTCACTGACTGAGCCACCCAGGAGCCCTGCCTTCAGTATTTTAGACACCATAGTAGGTATTAGAAATATAATAATGAACAAAAACTTGATACTTCAAGTCAACAAGCTTTCAGCTGCTAGGGGAGCAAATGAACTGACAACCTCAGTTTTTTTTTTTTTTTTTTTTTTTTTTTAAAGATTTTATTTATTTGACACAGAGAGAGAGATCACAAGTAGGCAGAGAGGCAGGCAGAGAGAGAGAGGAGGAAGCAGGCTCCCTGTGGAGCAGAGAGCCCAATGCGGGGCTCGATCCCAGGACCCTGAGATCATGACCTGAGCTGAAGGCAGAGGCTTTAACCCACTGAGCCACCCAGGTGCCCCCTGACAACCTCAGTTTTATGGAAGTATTGAATGAGCTCAGACAGGAGGGGTGAGTCAGAGGGATTCAGAGAAGGGAAGAAGGGGCTGGGAGTTGAAAAGTTTCTGGATGGGTTAACAGTTTCTTCCAAGGTGTGAAGATGATGTGTGATACATTCTGGGAAATATAAGTAGTTGACAGTGACTGAGGGAGCTGAGGAGTTTGTGAGAGAATTGTGCCCTTGCTGATCCCACATGCCCCTATAATGGGAAAGACTTCTCTGTCAGACACTGTGAGGCTGCCAGCCTCTGTTCTTCCCCAGCAGTATCCTCTGTTCACCACGTCCTTATGAGCATGACACATTAAATGATTAAACAAACTTACTAATGTTGAAATGTTCTGTGTGTAAGCTGAGAGAATAGAAGCTAATTACAAACAGCTTTTGTGACTTGCTCCAGACCCCGTTAGGCCAAGAAGCATCACTTCCAAGCATCTCTCACAACTGCCATTTCATCTAGAAGGTCTCTTAAGTTCTGAATTCTGCAGTTAGGGTCTTTCCAGAATTTTTGCAAGTATGAACTGGCCTACAACTGTTGTTTTTAAAAGAATAATAAGGATACGCTATGCTCATGGTAAATTAAAACATTACTGACAAGTATAAAGAGACAAGTACAAGACACCACAACTGCAAACTTTTCGATCTTCATTCACTAAAGTTTTTCCACTCTTGAGGGTTTCTATACCAATTTAAGCATGCTTCTGTACCTATGTGTGTGCCTCATTTTTTTAATAGTCGCAACAGTGTCAGGGTCCCTGGGTGGCTCAGTTGGTTGAGTGTCTGACTCTTGGTTTTGGCTCAGGTCCTGATGGTGGGACTGTGCCCTGCACCAGGCTCCATGCTCAGCAGGGAGTCTTCTTGAGATTCTCTCCCCCTGCAACCCTCTCAAGTAAATAAACAAGTCTTTTAAAATAAATAGTTGCAATAGTATCTCATGTTTGGAAGTCCTATAATTTCTCAATCAATTAATGGACTTCAAGTGAATTTTCAGGCCTTTCATTACAAAGAACGCTGAAATGAGCACAGTTCAAAAGAAATAACAATCTAACAAAAACTCAAAAATATGTTAAGAGTTCCTTTTGGAGTTTTGTTGGAAGGGAATGAGGAAGCATTTTTTATTCTCCAAATGAATGTGAAAACAACTTCCCTGGGACACTGTTTCCTTTGCCGATGGTCTGGATGGATACGGCCTCCTGATATTGATTTGGCAGATGACCCCCTCACTCCTTTGTCAATGATGTGAGTGACTTATGATATATTGAGCCCTATTTTGTAGTATTTGCTGACTTCTATCTTATAGTTACTTCTACCATGGTTGATGTTAACCTATCAACATGATGTCAATGAACATGCAATTGGGAAGTGCTAGCCAGTGGCACACCATTATATATTAGTTCTATAATTTTAGGAGCATAGATAAGGGGAAAATGCAGTAAAATAATTAGGAAGTGATCAATTTTGAGTATCTATTGGTCTTGTTTTTTAATGCAAATTATTTAATTGAAGTTGAAATTAAAATTGCAAATTGAATTTAATTTTTAAAAATTTCTGTGTTTAACTCAAAATTTAACTATTGGCTTTTGGTGCCAACACAGCAAATACAGAAATATTTTATATCTATTTCCAAAAGCTTTCCAAACTACAATTTTTAAGATATGATATACTCTTTTTTTTAAAGATTTTATTTATTTATTTGACAGAGATCACAAATAGACAGAGAGGCAGGCAGAGAGAGGGGGAAGCAGAGCTCCCCACTGAGCAGAGAGCCCGACAAGGGGCTTAATCCCAGGACCCTGAGATCACGACCTGAGCTGAAGGCAGAGGCCCAAACCACTGAGCCACCCAGGCGCCCCAAAATATGATATATTCTTGAAGAAAACAGTAAGTGTTTAGCACTTACCTAGAAGACGAGGCAGTGGAGGCAATGTAGGTAACTTAATGAACCCCAAAAGTTTACCTCCAATGATGGCACAATAGAATAGGATTATAATCCCAAATAGGTTTCCTCCAGGAAGACATTCGCTGCCAGTAATTGACCAAACTACAGCCCAGAGAAGAACAACCATGGTAACTGAAATAAACCAGGAAAACTAGTTTCAACCAGTAACTTGTCATATGCAGGTTTTAGTATAATGTAAAAATTTTAAAAATGTTGAATATACATACATACATTTATAACCATGTGTAAATTTTAAAGAACATTAGTAATATGAACAACTGGGTAATTCTCAGCCATCTTAAAAAATAAGCAATTACCGGTGCCTTTGGATCCACCTACGGCCCCTCCTGATCCTATCCCCAATCTCCTTCCACAATGCCAGAAGAAACTTTTTTTTTTTTTTACCATTCCCCTATTTTTCTTTATAATTTACCAAAAATAGTCACAGTTAATAAAAAAAAGTAACATTGGCTATCTTTACAATCTTCATAGGAACAGGAAAATGCTCGAACAATCACATTCAAGTATTTTTAGTTCTGTCTTGAATTAAACACTGTTGTTTCTTTTCTATAGTCAATGTTTGTTTGGAATTACCCACATACTCATCTATTTTCTATTTTGATCATTATTCGTTATGCTAACTCAACCCTTTTATCTGGAACAATTATTTTGTTGCCTGAAGAATTTCCTTTAATAGAGGCATTTCTATTAGGATATGAAATGTTTCCTTGTTTGAAAAGTTTGTGTTGTACTAAATTGTATGCTGAACACACAAAGACTCCTCAGAAAACAGTTGGGCAGACCACTCAAAACTCAGAATTTGTGACCAAAGTACTGACAAAAAACGTAAGAATCCTAATAAAAGTACCAGTGCAGTTAAATCTCCACTGACATTTGTATCTCATGGTCTCTTTTTTGCAGACTTAATCCCTGGAACCACACAACTTCAACATGTAGAATCCTCAAAGCATTTGCTTTCAATAGAAAGCAGTTCCATCTAGATCTGATCCAGATTATAGTTTTTTCCATCAATTAAATATTTGTTGTTGTTTTAACTGAGGAAAAAGTTTTGGCAGCTACTTTAACCGTACTGTCGGCTTCTACATCCACATGTGGTTTCATTAGACAGTTTAATGGTGTAGAAGTTGAAAAGTCTTTGAAGCCCCTAAGCCAGTAACTAACAGCCTGAAGGAGTTAAGCTTTTTTAAAAGTCCTCATTTTAGGAAAGCCTGGTTGGCTCAGTTGGTTAAGTGGCTGCCTTTGGCTTGGGTCATGACCCCCGGGTCCTGGGATTGAGTCCCACATTGGGCTCCTTGCTCAGTGGGGAACCTGCTTCTCTCGCTTCCTGCAGTTCTCCCTGCTTGTTCTCTCTCTCTGTCAAATAAATAAGTAAGATCCTTAAAAAGAAAATGAAAAGTCCTCATTTTAGTAAGACTTTATCTTTAATTGTAAGAAACCATACACCTGATCTTTTTTCGTCTGTTTCTGCTTTTCAGTGTGTTTTGCATTCATGTGCTATTGCTTGATGATGCAAAATGTAAGCATGACAGGAAAAAATATGTACTAATGCAAAATTTCGTATTATACTGACACAATTCCTTATTTATCATCGTATATGAACTAATTCATGGTACAGAAACACTGTATCAGAGTACACTATATTTCTCATGAAGATCTGTTGGCAGTAAATTCTTGGTTTTATTTATTTGAATTACCTTTATTCTCATTCTTGAAAGATAGTTTTCTAGGGTATACACTTCTAGGCTGAGAGTTACTTTCTCCCACTTCCTTGAAAATACTATTCCTTGGTTTTCTGGCTTTCATTATTGTTTTTAAGTCTCTTTTAGGTAAATCTTTTTCCTTGGCTGTTTTAAAGATCTTTATTTTTTTCTCTGGTTTTCTGCAATTTCAGTGTGATATGTTCAGTACTTATGTTTAATTTCAGTACAGCTTCCTTTTAGTTTGCTTGGAATTTATGTTTTCCATCAATTCTGGAACATTCATCTTTATTTCTTCAAATATTTCCTCTTTGCCATTCTTCTTACTCTCTTTTGCTGGAACAATGATGAAATAATTAAATAGTCACAGTCCTTTTTCCATTTGCCTAACCCTAGTTTTCATGCTGCCCATATTTTTGTGTGTGTACTGCTTTGTAATATCTTCAGATCTATTTGCTAGATTATCGATCTTCTTTTCACTTACTCTGCTGCCTGATCTACTGGGTTTTGAATTTCAATTACTGTACCATGTCTTTCATTTCTAGAAGTTCAATTTGGTGCTTATTAAAATCAATTCATATTTATAAACAGTTACTTGTTTTATATTTCCTACCTCATTAACTTCTTCATAGATATTGAGAATATTTTATATTTTATTTCCTGATAATGCAAAATTTTGAAACCTATTTCCTTGTGTGTGTTGTGATTTCTGTTTTTGTTTGTTTGGTTTTGTTGTTTTGGCAACAGTGAGCTCTTCCCTGACACTTTGTCTTTGGGAATTGTTGGAGGTGAATGTGAGTTTTCCCAGATAGGATCTGAATTTGTTCCTACCATGTGCTTAGAATCTTAACAATCTGGGACTATTTTTAAAGATGGTGAACTTTTTTTTTTTTTTAAAGATTTTATTTATTTGGGGCACCTGGGTGGCTCAGTGGGTTAAAGCCTCTGCCTTCAGCTCAGGTCATGATCCCAGGGTCCTGTCTCCCCCTCTCTCTCTACCTGCCTCTCTGCCTACTTGTGATCTCTGTCAAATAAATAAATAAAATCTTTTTAAAAATTTATTTATTTATTTATTTAACAGACAGGGGAAGCAGGCTTCCTCTGAGCAGAGAGCCCGATGCGGGACTGGATCCCAGGACCTTGAGATCATGACCTGAGCCGAGGGCAGAGGGTTAACCCACTGAGCCACTCAGGAGCCCCTGGGACTAATTTTAAAATATATTTTCAGCTTGAGTTTTTTCTGTGACTTTGAAATATAAATCAGTGTGAAGCTCCACATTTTTAGTGGAGATTCTTCCTTCCTCCAGGAACACTACAATTTAGACAGATAAGGTTTAGTGGCTGGCTGCCTCTACATGACGGGTTTATTTCAAATTCACCATCACATTGGGTTCCAGCTTCCCGGTGTGGGTGAAGGGAGAATGATGTCTCCTATGAAACATCTCCCAACCTGGGCAGACTCAAGCATAGCCTCCTATACTCTCAAGGTTCTCAAAATGAATCTCAAGTTCGCTGTTGTTTTGCAGAAGCCTCCAGAGTGAAAACGAATGTGAGTGCTTATTTATCTCTCCTAGGCATACTGTTTTTGGTGTCTGACAAGTTCCTGTTTTCTTGACAGATGACAGGTACATTTAAAAGACTTAAAATATTATTTTCAGATGTTTTCATTGACATAAGTGATAGGATTATTCATTGAGTGTCATCTACCATATTGCTGCAGATCAAATCCAATGTCCCATCTTTTAACCCTCACAGAATTATTACAGATTTTGTAGACTATGATGCTATTACAATGAAATAACTAAAGAATCCTCTGTATTTTCCATTTGGGTATAGGAGGTGAAATTTCTATGTAGTATGGGAGGTGCAATGGGAAAGGAGGAATTGCCAGCTATTAAACATTATCTTATCACAGAATAAAACCTGTTTTGTACTAAATTCAGAAGGTGAATTATTTTTTTCTACTTCAAGACCACTTTTCTTTTAAACCTCTAACATTTCTTTCCTTTCTCATATGTAAAATGCAGTTCTAAATACATAATAAGTGTACATTTACAAGATTTCTCTAAATCACATTTAATTTAGTTAGTAATTTACTTCTCATTTGTGATTTTGGAAAATCATATTTTCACATGTAAGATCTACTTCTTAAGAAAAATACTTAAGTACACTGAAGGGACATGGGAAGGAGTACAGGGGTAAAAAGAGCAGACTTGTAAGCCTCAGGAACAGAGGCACAGGAAAACAAGTAAAGAGGTGTTTTTATATCACAAGTTCCCACTTCTCAGGCCACTTTCTGGACAATGATCATAGAATTTAAAGAAATGAGTCTCCAAATCACTTCATTCATTATACTCTTTCCTTAATGCAATCCTTATCTGTTTTTACTATAAATATTTAAACTAGAAATCTGCCATAATTTGAATGGTGAAAGTTTAAAAAATAATAAAAAGGACAGAATAGGTATTAAATTAACTGTTGCCTTATCAACTGAGGTATATTTTGGAACTTACCTAATTTCATTAAAACCACATGTGGAGGCTAGAATATAACACATTATACTTGGCTTCCATTGTTCCAGCTGAGAAGGGTAAAATGTCTTTCAGAGCCCACAAATGAAGTATAACAATAAAGAAATGAGTCTGATTTTTTTAGTAAACACAACTTTTAGATCAAACGTGTTATGTTCTTCAACATAATTATTTGGGAAGCCATATATATGCTCCAGTGGTGCTGTCATTCCTCAACATAATTTTTGAAATTGTCTTTAAATTTGCCTTTATAGACAATTTTCAAACACCTTCTCCTTTTTCCTGCTATACTACATATCCTTCAATGTACAAAGTTAATACACATACACACACACACACACACATACACACAACTTTCTTTTTTGAACAAAAAATAGCATTACTCAATCTGAACATCCATCTTTTATCAAAATAATGTTTGGCTGCCTCAAAAAACCAAATCCATTCCTAAAGATAATATTTGAAATAGTGCTGAGATAAACTCCCAAAGAAAAAGCCCCCAAATATTTTAGGTAATTGTAGTTATACTGGAATAAGTTGAATTGGAAACTAGGATCCTTACTTATAGAATGATGGATTCATTTGAAAGGATACATTGAGCTGTGTTTGTTCAGACATTAGTTCCATTATTTAATAATAATTAAAACCAATATTTATTTAGTGTTTTTCTGATTACAAGTGATTTCTCAATCATTTTTCTTTCTGGAGTCCTAATGTAATCTTGTGAAATTACTCAGATACAAGAAAGGAAAATGTCATTGATCTCTGCTCTTTTCCTCTCCCTGTTTGCTACAATGGTAGTGGCAACAGCACTGTGGGAAACCTTATGTTGAAGATGGTGGACCCATAACCATGGGACCCTCAGTGACTTGTGGAGCAGAGCCAAATACCAAGTAAATTGTTCACCCAGTAGTTTTTATGTGTGAAAGAAGTAAACTTCTTTCTATCCTTTAAACCATATTATTTTGGAATCTCTCATTATAACAATTTTATCTTTTATCCTCTCTTTCTGAATTATTTTTTACCATTTACATACCATTTGTTATTCCTCTATCCAGAAAACCATGTGGGGGACAAGAAAATGTTTGTCTTAGTCTTTGCAAATTATTTGATTCAGTTGGTATTTTTTGTAGCTTTTTTTCATGGCTATTCAGGAGGTTACTTCCTTCTGTTGGTTCTTTGGCGTCTGTTGCTTTGGAGTTCGTAACTGTTTCCTCCTGTGATTAAAGCAATTTAAGAAACCTTAAATACAGAAAACCATATATTTGCTGTACATTTTTGTAGTTAGAGCCATCACATCACAGATCAAATTTCCATTGCGAGAATCAAGGCTAACACTTTATAGTGGAAATGCACAACTATATTAATAGCTAATGAGTAAATGCTTGGAATCAAAACTATGTTTAGGAGTATTTAACATTGAGTCCCTATTGGTAACATTATAAATGCTTGAGTCACATAGTATTCCATTTTGTTTTGTAGTACTGGGTTTAAAATTAGCCTGTTTAAGGTATTATTCAAGGCAATAGTTGGTAAATATATCAAAGTGGTCCAGAAAAAGAGAACTATTTGTGGTGAAAACAAATTCAAATTCATTCATCTACTTGAATTTAAGCAATAAAAAGAGAAAGGGGAGAAACCAGAACCATTCCAGGGGTTAGGTTGGGAACACAAAGCATTTCACAGGCTCTCTATTTTTCCAGCCTTATGTGGGTCTAGATACTAATGACTACCAGGAAAACTTGTAGTCACATCTACAGTACAAGTTTGGGTATTAAGAATGGGGAGAATTGTTAACTGAGTAATGGAGAATGAAGAGAACACAAATGTATCATAGATTTGGAAACAGATAGTCCCTTCCTTAAGGAAATGGTTAGAATGTTCTACATTTGATCATAGGTTTACCTGTATTTCTTGAAATGCAGAAGCTGTGTGATCCATTCCTGAGGATGGTTCCAAATCTTCATGTTCAATGACTTTATCTTCATCCCCCATGACTTACAATTAGAAGCAAGATGATACAGGGAAGAGGAATAGGATCTGTTTTAAAGGAGAAATAGTATAGATATAGAATAAGGTGGAGATTTACATGAATGGATTTAGCAGCACTTTGAGCAATTTAAATGAGTGACTTGCACTTATTTTTTCCCTTAGAACTCTCAATGTCTAAAATACTTTAAATTGGACTATTCTTAACTTTCAAAAAAATTTTCTTTTTAAAAATTTATTTATTTATTTATCTTTCAGAGAGAGAGAGAGAGAGAGAGAGAGAGAGCAAGTGAGGGCACAAACTGGGGGAGCAGCAGGCAGAGGGAGAAGCAGGCTACTTACTGGAGGCAGGACTCTCCCATGACCCTGGGATGGTGATCTGAGCTGAAGGCAGGTGTTAACAGACTGAGCCACCCAGGAATCCCTATTCTTAACTTTCAATTGCTAATCTTTCCTTTGATTGCAATATATTATACTAATTCTTATTTACCTTTACCTCTCTTGATAAAGGCCTTATTAATATTTTTATATGGTTTCCCTCCCACCTTGTTTTTTGAGTTATTCTTTCAATATGCCAAGCAATATTATTGTTAAATTATTCTCTTTAATGGGCCAAATTGATGAAACAGGAAAGCTCCAAGCAATTTTTCAATGTTGAAATGAGTCACTGAAGAGAAATCTATGGATTCCATCATTTTCAGAGAAACTAGAATCATTAATTCCTTCATGTTCATATTTCTAAATTAAAGTGAAAATAATACAACATTGACTGAAGGGCCACAATGTCTTAGATGCCTTGTCCCTCGATAGTCATTGTGGGTAATTTGGAGATTACCAAAACATATTTTTGTTCTCTGTAGGTTGACAATATACCAGGAAAAATAAACTTACATGAAGTAACCAAAAAAAACCCTGTACAACAGACTTATAGTTGACTCCATAAACAACTACCTCAATCTCTTTGCCCTTGGCTTCCCATGCTATAGGCTGAAAAGTCAAAAACTCCAATTCCTATTCATTTTGGCAACTCCGGGTGGTCAAGTGTCACAGTTCTGTGTGATGAGATATAATTGAGAGTCCCTGGGTAGGGCTTTCATTCCCAGACAATAAGGCAAGTCTTCTTGAGGATCATACTCTTTACTCTTTGTCCTTTAACATTCTCTTTTTCCTCCCTAGAATGTAGATATACCATCTGGAAGGCCAGTGGTCATCTCTCAACCATGAGAATTAAAAGCCCTACACTAAGGGTGGCAATTAAGATAGGAGGAGCTGGTTCCTTGATGATATCCTTGAATTGCTCCATCAATCTAGGATGCCAAACTTTGACGCAATTGTTGAAACCACTGTTAGTCAAGTGTTCTTTTTACTAGTAATCAACCTTACTCCAAATGCAACATGTATGAAGATATTTTAATGGAGGTATGAACTATAAACCCTGGTAGAAGCAAAGAAAATTATGTGGGAGAAGAGATAATTGAATTCAACACATACCTAATATGCATACCTAATATGTCCTACACACTACACTATGCCATAAAGATTAATTAAAAATTAATTGGTTAAATTATTAATTTAATTAATTAAAGATTAATCCAAAAAGGATTAATTAGACAGGACCCCTGCCTCAAGGAATCATTTTCTATTAACAAATTGCCAAGATGTTTGCATTTACTATTCCAAAGAATATTATATCATTTCCATCACTACCATCATCATTATCACCACCACCACTATTTTTCTTCCTTATAAAATACAATGTTGGCCAGCTTGGCATCTCAAAAAACCTTCAGTTTGATTTTTATTATATATCATATATAATAAGTTCACGTATGTATAATTATATATATGTGTATAAATGCAGATATGATTTTTAAAATTTATAAACTCATTCCAAAATTTAGACTCATGATGAGAAGGAATGGCATTTTGACAGAAAAAATATTGGGTTCAGAGAACCCTTGTCTTAAAGGTATGGAGGTATGAAAGCCAGTGGGATGTAAGGGGAAACTCTGTTGCAGCATGTGCTGGGAGGCTGAGAGCAATGGGAAATGAGGCTGGAACGTCAGGATATCATATCCCAAACGATGGCACTTGGCCTTTACTCTATGTAGACGATGACCCCTCATATAGTAAGTGGTGATGTCTGCTGGGTCTGGAGATGAAGAAAGGTGGGTCTGTAGTCTAGTTCCATCATATACCAAAGTTCTTAGCCTCCTTGTAACTAATTCCTTACCTATAAAATGGAGATAAGAGTGGTTCCAACCATGCATATGATAAACATTCAATAGTGTTGGTTATGAGCCACCCAAATCCTTTTCCCTAATTAATATAAATCTCTAAGATTCTTTTTGCTTTCCTTATTAAGCAGGACAGGGCCGCCCCACCCCACCCCACCCCACCCCACCCCGTCTTACAGAATTTACTACTTAATCCCATTGATTTTCTTTGATGATGCCTTTTACCTCTTTCTTTCCTTTTTTTAAAAAATTTTTTATTTCTTTTCAGCGTAACAGTATTCATTGTTTTTGCACCACACCCAGTGCTGCATGCAATCCGTGCCCTCTCTAATACCCACCACCTGGCTCCCCCAATCTCCCACTCCCCGCCCCTTCAAAACCCTCAGATTGTTTTTCAGAGTCCGTAGTCTCTCATGGTTCACCTCCCCTTCCAATTTCCCTCAACTCCCTTCTCCTCTCCATCTCCTTATCCTCCATGTTATTTGTTATGCTCCACAAATAAGTGAAACCATATGATAATTGACTCTCTCTGCTTGACTTATTTCACTCAGCATAATCTCTTCCAGTC